GAGTTGAAGTCCACGAGTCATAAAAGAGCCAAGGTTGCCTACCCCTGGTCTAAGCAAACAAGTCTAAGAATCTAGACTAGAGAATGTACGACAATTCATAAGATAAATGATAAAAGTTGTGTAGCATCATAAAGAAACACCCAAAGCACAAATCCCTCACTAAGGAGGAAACCTGGTAGTGTGTTTTCCCTGGCAGGCCACCCTACTTCCATAAAACCACTAACCACTTCACAAAAACAATTAATCATATAAATCTAGCAGTAAATGTATTCAGCCACCCATCAGCAATTGGGTAACACATCATACAGAAATTCCTGGCCACTTCTGAGCTAAAATGAATGAGGGAGACTGTGCTCTTTCGGACAAATTCCCTTTTAATACAGGCCCTCCTATGCAGTGTTCAGCACTTCCTCTGCAGTTTTTTAATTGCTGGTACAGCTGTCTGTGTTTAATGCATCATCATCATCCCTTAGAAAGCCTGCTCTTTCTCTTGGTACACAAACTCTGAAAGCAAGCACTTCTATTCTATAGTTCTGTACAAATAGTATTGCATGTTATGGAGCAGCAATTACTTTGACTTGGTTCTTGAGAATCTGTCTTACAATCAGCTCATTCCTGACTTCTTTGTGGAATGTGCAAAGCCAGATGCAAAAGGAGGAGAGAATGCTGTATTTGTATGATGTTCTTCGTTAAAAAAAAATCACCCACTAGTTTTAGCTAGTGCTGAATCAGGCACTCGTAGGCTAAAGAGCATGTTGTGATCTGTGAAGTCTCAGAGAACATTTGATCTTGCCATGATTAGGCTCTGGTTAGACAGAGCTGGGCAACTGTGGCCCCTTTACAGCCTGTGGACTTCAACTCCAAGAATTCCTCAGCCAACCACAATGGCTCAAGAATTCTAGGAGTTGAAGTCCACAGGTCATAAAGGGGCCAAAGTTGTCTACTCCTGGGTTTGAGGTTAGAAACTCAGTCACTTTGGGGACAATTTTCCCTACAATTCTCTATGGAGATTCTCAGTCATCCAGGTCATAGCTATCTCAAAGGTGCTTTTTTCAAAAGGCAACTGGCCTATTTTTTCCCTTGAGGAAGTAGCTTTGCTTCTCATCCAAGAACCTTCATCAGTTATGACTGGATGATGATGGTGGTGGGGTGGAAGAATAGGTTCTGACAGGATGGTAGGAGGGGGATGGAAGGATTATATTACTTTGCAGTCATCTGGTTGTTAGCACTCTAGAGCTGTTGAAGCCACTTGGGGGGTTTATTCCATTTGATAAAGGTTTTTAAAGCAAGCAATCTCTTCTTGGGAGTTAGAAGCTTTTGAATCTCCTTGAACTTTTGTAAATGACATTGCCATAGGTGTATACTATAGGCCACCCAACCAAACGGAGGAAATAGATGAACTTTTTGCTAGTCAGCTAACTAAGGTATGTAGGAAGCGAATCACAATAGTAATGGGGAAGTTTAACTACCCTGACATCAACTGGGAAACAAACTCTGCACCAAGTGGAAGATCAAATAGATTCCTGACAAACCTAGCAGACAATTTTGTCTCCCAAAAAGTAGAGAAGGGAACTAGGGGATTAGCCATACTGGATCTAATTTTCACTAACAGAGATGAAATAATAGAAGGTGTTGAAGCCACAGAAAGCTTGGGAGGAAGTGATCATGCAATATTGGAATTCAACATTATGAAAGCATAAACAATAGAAACACAGTCAAACTAGAGCCGTGGTGGCACGTGTGCCACAGGTGGCATGCAGAGCCCTCTCTCTGGGTACGTGCGCCGTCGCCCCAGTCCTAGGCCTTCAGCTGGGTTTTATAAAACCTTTTTGGTTTAGGCCTCTGCCGCCGTGTGCAAAAAAAAAGGTTCAATCAATCAATCAATTTTAACTTCTCGCGGGAAAAAAAGATCTTGCAAAGTTGGAATTGATTGATTGAACTTTTTAGTCCCACCAATCTGCCATTACCATGCAGCCATGCCCACCCAATGGGCCATGCCCACCCGGCACCCAACGATACATAAGTGGGTTTTGGGTTGCAGTTTGGGCACTCAGTCTCTAAAAGGTTCGCCAGCACTGAACTAGTCTTTAAGAGAGCTAATTTCAATAAAGTCAGAGAGGGCTTGGGAAGGATTCCATGGATGAGAATCCTCCAGGGGAAAACAACTCAAGAGGCTTGGGAAATTTTGAAAAATGAGATAATAAAAGCCCAGTCTAGCACAATACCAACAAAGAAGAAAAATAACAGCTCTCAAAAGAAGAAGGAATCAAGCTATTCTCCAAAGCACCTGAAGGCAGGACAAGAAGCAACAGATGGAAACTAATCAAGGAGAGAAGCAACCTAGAACTAAGGAGAAACTTCCTGACAGTTAGAACAATTAACCAGTGGAACAACCTGCCTCCAGAAGCGGTGAATGCTCCTACACTGGAAGAAACTGGACAACCATTTGTCTGAAATGGTATAGGGCAGTGGTGGTGAACCTATGGCACTCAAGCCAGAGGCGGCACTCAGAGCCTTCTCTGTGGGCACACGTGCATTGCCCCAGCCTCGCCTCCCCCCGCGACCCACTCACCAGCAGCTCCCCTGGAGGAGAGTTGCCCCGAGTGTGGCCCCATGTGGAGCAGCACAGCCAAGGACATGGCAGCCAGGCAGCGTGGACAAGACTCTGCCCTCATGCCCCATCACGCACAGTTGATGCTGTGGGGTGCGGGCATAGGGAGAGGCTGCCATGGCGCTGCTGGGCTGCCTGGACGATCTGTGGTGGGCCCTGGAGGCGGTGAGTGGCCCTGCGGGCAGGGAGGGCAGGGGACAGGGTGGGGCGGATTGGGGTCGGGGCAGGGGGTGGAGCTGGGTGGGGCCAGTTTTTGGGCACTCGGTCTCTAAAAGGTTTGCCATCATTGGTATAGGGTTTTCTGCCTGAGCTGGGGGTTGGACTAGATGACCTCCAAGCTCCCTTCCAACTTTATTATTATTAATTTCAGAGGCACAGCTCTAACTCAAGTAATCATTCCACTATTAGTATTGACTCACATCATACTTTGATTCTGTAACCAATTCTGAGGCCTTCATAACTTTTAATTTTATGTGCTGTTTACAGGTAGTCCTTGATTTACTCCACAACTGAGTCTGCCAAATATAATCATCATGGTTGTCAACTGAGTTATCACATGACCAACCCAATTTTACAACCTTTTTTTGCAATGGTCATAAAGCAATTGCCATGGTTGTTAAGCAAACCCATTGTTTGCTATGGGGTGTTTTTGATGGAAACCAGAAGTAAATGTTGGCTTTCAGCAAAAATGTAGTGAACTGCAGTCAAATGATTGTGGAATGCCTTAATTGGCCAAAAATGCAGGCTGGTTGCCAAGTGCTCAAAATGTGGTCACGGGGACTGGATTATAAGTATCTTTTAGGAGACCATCTTTAACTTCAAATGTTTCTATTCTATTTAACTTTCCTGCCCCTCTGTTATACATTGAATAAGCTGTTGTAAATTGTGCTGATAAATAAGAATACTCAGTGAAGAATCACTATCAGTCTGATATTCTAACAAAATATATTCTGTATTCTTTACATTTGCTGTGCTGATTGGAAATTACAAAACTGAATTCAACACACTTGACTTCAGAGCTACAGCTTGTAAGCAAGTTGTTCAACATAAATGGATTTTCTCCTTCAGGTTTCCATGTACACGAATTGCAAGTTAAGCACATTTCAATGTGGGACATATAGCCATTGCAGCATTTGACTCCATACTTCCCAGGACATTTATGCTCACATTTTAAACAGAAAGTTCATTCAGTTGGCAAAATATACCTTTAGACTGTTTATATGATAAAAGGAAAAACAGACAGGTATATATTCTCTTCTAGCACAAGACTACCCAACCCCGATTTGTGGACCCACACCAATCCACAGCATGCCAGCAACTGGGCCGCACAAACAAACGAAGCCCCACCCACGGGATTCAGGCAGTATGCAAAACCACATCCCCTCTGGTCCGCAGAAAAAACTTTCTCCATGGCACGGATCCTTGATGCCCAAAAGGTTGGGGGCCTCTGTTCTAGCAGACAAGAATGGAAGTTTTTTTTTTTTTTTTTTAAAAAAACCAATTTCAACGAAACTTGACATTTCCAGCACTCAAAATCGCTCAGGGAGAAGAAAGATCTAATACAATGTAATCTGAGGGGGCCTTAGCTTCACTACCTTTGAATTCTGATGGGAGTTGCCTTCCATTATACAAAGGCAGGTCAACACAGCAATAATTTTATTCAAATGTGCTGTACTTATTAGGAAAGCTACAACTTGCTTCCATCTCACTTACCAAACACTTCAATAGCTAGTAACTCCCTGGAATGCAAGTTTGCATCTTTCCAGGGCATTCCAACATCATGGATTTGTAGATCAGGAGATTAATCTACTCTGTAATCCCAGCAACATGAAAGTAAGTTTACAATAGGATTATAAAAATGATAATTATTAATCTTGCAGTACACATGATGCAAAATTTAGAAAGGAACTAAAGACAACAGAGATAGATTTATATTCTCTAGTTTGTATTAATTAATTCTGACTTTTTAAACTAAAGATTGACACATCTGCCAGCAGGTATACTCTAGTCTAAGCTGATGTTCGGTTTTTCAGATATCTCATAAAATTATGTGGCAGGTCTGCACAATGCTGTATTTATTAAACTTATATGCCATCCATCTCACTGCTGAGCCATTCTGGGGGTTCTCCGACATTTAACCACCACCACCCCAACACTTTTATTCTTTACCATCCAGAAAATCATCCTATCAGGCTAAGGACTTGTTATGAACTCTCTCCTAATGAGCTGATTTCGATTTTTTAAAAAACAGATTGATAAACACACAAGTACCCATTTGACTTGTTGTCCACAACAATACAGTTTACGGAATGCCATCGCGCAGAAACAGATAACATTTACCATCTCTCCAGGTGAGAAGCAATACTCCCCAATACAGGACACCCCTTACCTGTTTCACTAGAAATTGGAATCCCCAACACTAGGCACTTGATGGCAGCTGCCCATTTTTCGGCAAGAGCCTGGTTTTCCTTGTAGCGCTCTGCTCCGTCCACTTGAAAGGTCTTTGCAATCCGCTGCCGAGCACGTCCTGAGCCCACGGCCACCTTTTTTTTCTTCAGTGGATAGGCAAAGATGCAGAAGAATGCTGACTGGTTTGCTACTGTATGACTGCGTAGTGTGTGGCAACCAACCACATCTATCAGCCGTATCACAGTCCGTTGATCAGTGTCCGGCTTGGGTACTAGGCGCTGGATATGCAGTTCAGTCCGGGTGAGGCTGAGGGCATAGCGGATCCCCTTAGGGGGATAGGACCCAAACTCCCCATGGAGGATGGCCTCAGAACCTTCTTGACAAGGCTTCAGTACCAGATTCATCTTGTCATGGAACCCCAGTTTTGCAATTGTGCTTTAATATCTGTCAGATAGCTGGTTCCAACCCATCACTACTTAACCTCCTTTTTCACCACTCCTCCCATCACCCAAGATTTGAAAAGCAGGATTTAAAACCTTTCCAATCACACAGATTTTTCTTGGGTCGGCTGAGCGGATAATGCAACTTACTTTTACCAAGAAACTTGCTTCCTCACTAGAGCTTAAGTATTTTCCAAAGTATTGCTCTTTTATTGAGCAAGAACCTTTGTGTCAAGGAAATAAAACAAGAGGAAAAAATACTGACATGTACATACCTCCCCAACTTTTCTGAAAAAAATGTCATCCAAATTCTAGAGGAATGAACACAGACCTGTATGACCCTAACACTAGGGTTAATAAATTTAAAGAGAGGCTTTTCTTAGCAAAACAAGTGCTTCTTCAGAAACATATGTAGAAAATCTGGTTTTCAGCATGATTTCACCTTTAGATAAGGAGTTTAAATGTTTAACTAGGAAGCTGTCCAACCTGTAAAAATCTAATCAGAACACCTGGCCACAAAAACATACTATTTTTAGTAAATTCTTTCCCTTCTCTTTTACAAGTCTGCTTCCCAAAACTTCAGAGAAGGGAGAAGAAAAGAACTTCAGCTAAAAATTAAACAATAAAAAACATTGATCTGTTTAGGGGACACTCAGGAATGAAAAAGAAAAATACCCAAAAAAGGAAAGTTGAGTTTGGAAAGAGAATGCAGACACAACATTCTACCCTTCAACTAGCGGCAAACAGAAATGAAATACTTTTATTAAGCACCCCATTGGTCAACCTAACTCAACTGTTTTCACTCCCGAGGTTTAGAAAAAAATAGTTTCTCACAAATGTTTGCAAGAGCGTGTCATCATAAAAGGGGGGAACAGGAAAAAGCTTTTGACTAAAAAAAAGTGGAGGGCAATAGAGCTGATCATTATTACACACACACACAAATATACATTTATACTGGGGGGAGGACGTTTGAGATAACCCCCCCAGAAAGGACCCTATTCCCTTCTCACCGGGCACGCTTTGTCCAAAAAGCCAGATGACCTTAGGAAGGAATCTGTGGGGAGAGGGAGAAAGGAGGAGAAGCTCCCGGGCACTTCTCAAGGTCTGCCCATCCTTAACAACCTCCAATCTTCAGCATCTCTCCCACACTTCTTTCCACGCCATCCTCCTCTTTGCTCAACCCCGGCTCTTCTTGCTTTCCGAGCCCAGTTCTCGCCTCTGTTCTGAGCTGCACACTGCCTCGCATGCTACATCGGGAAGTGTTCTTTTCTACCAGGGGAAGGTTGAGCAATGGGGTGGGGAAAGCTTTCTCCCTCCCTATCAGAGGTCAGCAAACCGTGGCAGTCCCGCCCCTCAACGGCACTCTCCTCGGACATTGGTGAGTGGGTTTTGCCATCTTTGACGACAGCGAGGGTATAAAGTAGCAAACCGGCCATCTTAATTAAGGGATAGGCGCCAACGAAGGGGCTCAACTTAAAAAAAATGTTGAGTCCTTAAAAGTGCTAACGAGAGAGCTTGCTTCTTTCAGCGATGATTGGTTTTGCTGAGGGGAGAGGGACAATTTGAGCTTTGGGCAAAATCAAGGGAGAGAGAAATTCCCAGCTTCCTCCAGGACTGCCATCTTTAATAAGGGAAATAAAGGCAGACTGTCTCGAGAAGAGTGATGCGGTGGCAGCCATTTTGGATCAGGGCAATTTTATTCTTCACAGACAATTCCCTAGCCTAGAACATTTAAAGTTAGGGAAAGTTCTGTATGCGTCACGTAGTGTTATCCATTTTGGATATGGGCAAAGCGTGGCACTTTCACCTCGAATTTTTTTATGGAACGCAAGCCTTGATTGGCTGCTTTTCAGCTTAGACACTAAAAAGAGCCACTTATAGTCACTGTGGAAAGACTTTCATTCCAAAATTGGCATATAATTGTAAATATACAATGTACAGTCTCTACATCATACCTATTCATATTATTACACTCAACAGAAACAAAGTGGTATGCAGTAAACATGCTTATATACATATACAAGTAGTGCTTTTTAGACACCAGAACTGTGACTGGCAATTTGGTCATTAAGCACAGCAGTCACTAGGTGAAATCACAATTACTTATAATTTTACTTCAGCTTTCTCTTGTTTTACAGACCTAGAAGGATTATATATATGAGGACAGATTGCAAAGTTACTTTTCATCACAGTTGTAGCTAAATGAGGACTACCTATATAAAAGTATTAAAGCCAAAACTAATCTGCTGAAAGCGATTTAAAAGACTTTGTAGTTTTTCTAGACATACTAGGGCCTAGGCTATTTACTAATCCAAAGGAAAATATATTCCACACTTTAGGAGAAATATAATTCTATATTTTTCTTTTATACCTAGTTATCAGGCTTCCATGAATAAAAAAGACACTATGATAGATTCTTCTTCTGTATTTAATGTATTAACAGATTTATACCATACGATTGATGGGCTGGATGCCAAAAGAAAGCAAAATTATGACATACACTCAGTGGCCAGATTCAGCTGGTTTGCACCACTTTGGCAGAACCCGTAGCTAATTTTTTATTGCCCAGGCCCAGAGTGGACTTCCGGAAGCGGCATCCACACAGAGAACTGGTTGTTCACATATTTGAATCCCACCACTGCATACACATGAAAGGAGATCAGGATGTCTGTAATTGAGGAGTTTGTCTGGTAAGAATAAAGAATGCTTATTTACACAAAATATGCAAATGTAAAACTTGTAACAATTCTGGATTGTTAGAAAGCTGAGAAAAGTAACAAAGACTTAGGCATCTTGCAAGCTCAGCTAAAAGTTAGGAATAGAGATGGCCTGGATCAAATAGGAAGTATATTAGATAACTTCTGAAGCATTCATTGGCTAAGGCATAGGAATAGGGATGGCTAGAGACCAATAGAATAATTGTTAGATTATTATTGAAATGTTTATTATATGATATTTCTTATATATCCCACCTTCTCCTTAGTGAAAATGTATAAAGCTTTCTTAATTCTGTGGTTCGAGGTTCCTTGGCATTTTGGCCAGGATCCATAATAATAATAATAATAATAGTAGTAGTAGTAGTAGTAGTAGTAGTAGTAGTAGTAGTAGTAGTGGTAAAGTTGGAAGGGACCTTGGAGGTCATCTAGTCTAACCCCCTGCTCAGGCAGGAAACCCTATACTATTTCAGACAAATGGCTGTCCAGTCTCTTCTTAAAAACTTCCAGTGTTGGAGCATTCACCGCTTCTGGAGGCAGGTTGTTCCACTGGTTAATTGTTCTAACTGTCAGGAAGTTTCTCCTTAGTTCTAGGTTGCTTTTCTCCTTGCTTAGTTTCCACCTGTTGCTTCTTGTCCTGCCTTCAGGCGCTTTGGAAAATAGCTTGACACCCTCTTCTTTGTGGCAGCCCCTGAGATATTGGAACACTTTTCTTGGAGAGCTTCAATAAAAGAAAACAAAACCTGCACCTCATGTCTGATGTACTTCATTGGCCTCAGCACCAGGTTCAAACCTGAATTGGGGACAAGAAGATGGTGTTTTTATTTTGCATGTATCTATATAACTATGTTCAACACAAAATAAAAATACCTCAATAAAATTGATGCATCACTTGTAAAACATCAAAAATTTTACAATAATTACAATGTAAGATCACAACTAAAATATGCAGACTTAGTAAACTGGAGGGCCCATATTCTTTTTTTTTCTTCTGTTCAACTGTGTCCAATTCTCAGAAACCTCCTGGACAAGCCTCTTCATTTTTTAAAAAAGGTTTTTCAAAAGTGGCTTGTCCATACCTGCTTCCTAGCAATGAGAGAAGGTGACTAGCCCAATCTTAATCAGCTGATTTATACCTAAGGTGGGACTAGAACACATATCTATCCCATTATCTAGCCTGATGAATTCACAATCAAGTAATTCCGGATGGTAAATAAATCTTTTATTCACAGAAGTCAGCTATGCATGCACATAGCAACAAAGGTACCTAAAACAACACTGAGCACCTACGGAAAGATATATTGTTAACATACAGAAATTAATGTCAGGTGAGAGACCAGGTATCGGCTGACTAACAACTGTTCTTAAAGGCATAATCCTCATATATCACCACTAATACTTAAAGGACTGTGGTGGTAAAAGGTTATGGACATTATGGGCTCTGTTGCAAATAATCAGTGTTGAAAGAAAGGCAAATGGCTGTATCTAATGAAAATGTCTAATGAGAGACAGTTTGGTCTAGTGGTTAAGGCTAGAAACAGGAGTCTGTGAATTCTAGTCCCACCTTAGGCGTGAAAGCTGGCTAGGTGACATTGGACAAATCAGTAGGAGATGGTGAGTTCTAGTCCTGCCTTAAGCATGAAATGGGCTGGGTGGCTTTGGGCCAATCACTTTCTCTCAATCCAACTCACTTCACACAGTTTTTGGGTAAAAATACGAGTGGGGAGTATTGTGTGGGTTGCTGCCTTGTGTGTAACAAAAGTATTTGACAAAGAGTACAGTAGCCAGAATGAACGAATGAATGTGAACTAAATCTAAGGTGACCAACTTTTTTACAATGAAAAGGACATAAATAAATTGAAGAAAAAATATAATAAATAAATAAAAGAAACATTTTATTCATTGCAACAATAATACAGAATACACTATAATATAATAATGCAGAGTGGGCCTTGTGACTCCCAAAGCACCAGCCGCGCTGGCTCCGGCCCCGGGAGGCAGCCCGCCATTGACACACTCTGCCTGCAGCTGCCCCGCCAGCACCACCGTCCACCCTGCGCAGCCCCGTGTAGAATGGGCCCCGTGGCTCCCACAGCACGGGGGGCAGCCGGCTGCCACTGTCCCTCACACCCCTGCCCGCAGCAGCCCTACTGTCCCTGCCTCTTGCGCCCATAGCCATTATTGCCCTAGCAGGGCTGAAGATCAAGAGAAAGTTACTGTGGCATCGCCCCTCCAGTCTCCTCCAAGTATCTTCGGGACTAACTAGGAGATGGTGTAGTTGGGTAGCAGGGAGGGGTGCAAAGTTCCTGCCAATTTGCCTTCACTGCAGAAACTTGCATGTGCAAAGTTTGCTGGCCGCGCTCAGCAGCAATCCCTATTGGCTTTCGAAAGCCAATAGGGGGAGTAGCACAGTTCATGCAAAAGTTGAAAAAAAAAACCCCATCAAAAAAAGGTGCCGGAATGCCATTCTGAGAGTTCTATGTGAAAAAAAGAGCTCTGCAGATTAGTCTTCAAATATCAAAAGGGAGGACATGTAGGACACTTTTCGAGGGAGGACAGAACTTAGAAAAGAAGGACTGTTCTCCCTAAAGAAGGACGGTTGGTCTATCAAAAGGAGTACACCAAGTGGTTGGTGGTGGTAAAAAAAAGAGCATGAATGATGCAATTGGAAAAATAATTTCTTCTTTCATGAAGATGAAAGAGAAGACTGAGGCCATTGTGATGGAATTAGAACTTATCATATTATGAAAAATTGCAGGAATGTGAAACTTTTTAGAAAATTTGTCTGAAAATTCATTTTGATTTTTGGCTATAGTAGACTAATATTATTGTTCTCTTACAAGGAAAATATAGAAGACAGAAAAATAGATTTTAACTATTCCTCTTTCCTTTACTTGCTTTAATTGAGGGGAGGGTGGGTTACTATATCTTATATATTTTCTGCTTATTCGTTGCTTTTCCAAAAGGTGTGATATGCATGTAGGTTCATTCCACAAAGCTTCAGTGAAACTAATATTATCAGGTTGATCGGCCATAACTAAGTTTCATCCGATATCGAACAGTTACTTATCTCTCTAACGAGATATAATTAATCAGAAAGTTAACCCGGAAGCTTGGTTTCTTGACAAAGGAATGTCGCTCTACATTACGTGCACAGTCTTAACATCACCATAGAGCAGGGGTAGGCAACCTTGTCTCTTTTATGACTCGCGGACTGGCTCAGGAATTCTGGGAGTTGAAGTCCGTGAGTCATAAAAGAGACATAGTTGCCTACCCCTGCCATAGAGAGATAGAATTACCCGTTTCTCTGCCTCATCCTTTCGTTCCCATAGTTCTTTGCGTGTCGGTGGCCTCTTCCGGTCTTTCTATTTTCCAGCCGTGCCGACGCCACCATGGTAAGAATTGAGAGGGAAGGGAGGCGGGCTGTTGAATCGGTTGTAATCTTCTCTGGGGAAGCAGCCTGGAGTGCAGGTTGTGTTGTGTTCGTAAAGTGGGAAAAATACAAGTTCTGGGGGGCCAGGATCGAACCCCGATACTAGAGAGGGCTGCCCGCAGAGGGCGGCTGTTGTTGCAGGTTGGAGTTCGGGCCTAAGAAAGCTCCCAGTTTGCGGGCTCTCCTAAAGATCGGGCAGAGAAAGGCTCGAACGTGTGTGCGCGACAAGCCAGAGTTGCATTCTTAAGTGTTATTTAATTACTTTGGTTCTAATAAAGTAACATTAGATGAAAAACGGAGAGCCTGGCGTCATAAAAATTTGCTTCGGATATCCTCTAAAACAGGACGCTATTTTAAAAGTTTTGGTGCCATGTGACTATTACAAAATAGTGATAGTAGAATAAAAGACTTTTGTTTTTGGTTTCTTTATGTCTTGTTTGAGCAAACAGGCATAGGATTCAACGAGATTTGTTATATACAG